AGAACAAACCGACGGATGATCATTACCAACTAAGGTGTGATCTGCAATAACCAAATACGGTATATTCCCTGACTGTATTTAAAATTCTGTGGCATTTTAGAATTCGGTGATGTTCTGCGGTAACCAAGAATGATTTCTGTGGTTGGCTGTGATTAAGAGAAATTCTGTGGTTATCTGTGAATCACAAGAAATCATCATCCCTGGGTAGCGTTCCACAAAAAATTATTCATCCCCAGTAATTTTGACCAATCAAAATTTAGAACAATATAGCGCCTATTAGTAAAACATTTTTAATTAGGTCGCAGAAGGTGATTTCCTAATTAAAATTTAGAGTTATTATTGTTTTTTTTTTTTTAAAAAAAAAGATTTTTACTTTACACCTGATCCTGAAATTCGATTGGTCAAAATTACAGGGGTGACCAATTTTTTGTGGGAGAGCTAGAGGGCGTCGTAGTTCATGACAGTAACGCAAATCGCGTGTATAAAATTTCTTATTATAGATCACATCTGTAAAATTTAAGAAAAATATGCTTTCCGGTCTTATTTAATAAAAAAGCAATGATCAGTATCAGTTAATTTTGGGATAAAGGTTTGCTCTCACAAAATTTTATGGGTGGTTAAACAACTAATCTTGATTACAAAGTTTACCAATTTTTTTTACATCATTTGTTTATTAGTGACGCGACTCATTTGACCAAAACAATTCTCTCAAAATTCGATGATGATCATCAACCATTTTTGGTTAAATGAGGTGCGTTACTACGTTACTAATAAACAAATAGTACAAACCGTAACGGTAAGCCTCGTAAATCAAGACTAGTTGTCATCTTATTTTTAACCACCCTTCAAATGCTAGAGAATAAGCAAACCTTTAGCCCAAAATTAATCCAACAACACATTTTTACTAAATAAGGGCTTATTTGACAAATTTTAATATAAAATTTAGGTGCGACAATCATTGACTTATAATTAAAAATTTTTACATGTGGCATTTCGTGTAACTGATGAACATTGTGTAACATTGAACGGTCCCTCCTGTAAGTATATATGAGTGCCGCCAAGGGAAAACCTGACAATTGTATTTTGTGTACAGTAGCCGTCTATGGAAAATCTATCAATGATAGATTTTTCATAGATGGCTAACTGTACACTGAAAGTCCAAAGTCTGGTTTCCCTTGGCGGCACTCATATGGTCTATGATCGGTCATAAAGGCTATAATAGGTCATATAACACACGTATGCATCTGCAACTTGATCGGACACAATTTAATTAACTGGCGTTAGTATTAATCATAATAATATATTACAGAATTTGTGAATTAACCTTCTATGGTCATCTAAGTGCATATATCATATGATCCTAAAAGGCGAAATTTGCATGATTTTGAAAAGCCTAAATCCGGTTATTAGCGTAATTGCGACAGGTGTCACAAACAAAATAGATCCACATAATATATATGCACAATGAGCTTTCCATATACGATGTAAAGATAATTTGCTAATTATCTACTAATTATCTACGTAACAATAAAGGAATCTTGAAAATATTTGTCATTTGTCATTGGTGTAATCCGCAATTTAGTGTAACACTCTGAACGTCAAAAAAGGAATTTAAAATAATTTTGATTCCTTATTGCTTTGAACTGCAGTATTAATGCGCCGCATGCAATGCTTTTAAATTTTTCCTCTTGAGGCTTTGGAAAAATTTCTTTACGCCTTGTCGTTTTCTTTTACGAGGAGGCATTCTCATATAAGCTCTAAGTGAATATATATTTTGCTTATATAAGACGTAAAAAAAAAAAAAAAAAATGGAAGCTTTCCATGAAACAAAAGATGTTTTTGGAAGGTATCGAAGTACGGAACCTAAAGTTTTAATAGCAACTAGAGGAATAGTATTATTAATTATTATAGCTTTGCTCGCGGGATATTTTGCTATTTTAACGATTTTCTTGGTATTTGATGGTAATGTTATTAAAAGTAATTTGGAACCTTCGTCAGTAATTCCTATTCCAGGTTGGTGAATTGATCTTGTTATGCTATGTATGCTATGGACGAAAAAGACATGTTATTTCCGGCCCCTTCTGAAATTTTTTTTTTTAAATTTAGATTTGGAACTTATATTTAACTATCATTTTAATATTTCTTGTGTGTTTCGATTTACTGGTAAATATTCAACCATTCAGGTTTTTAATACATGATCCATCAATCATTTATTTCATTTAATTGTTATGTCTTCGATTTAGATGGCAGTGAATCAACATCCCAAGAATGTTCACCATATATCCTTCAACCAACATGTAATAATGCATCCTCAGATGACCGCTGGCATGGATACTTTACAGCAACAGAAGGGCTTGTGTTTAATCAGACAGCCAAACGATACGGGATGTACTTTACAATAAATATTGATGATCCAAGATATGTTCGAGATAATGATAAAGGGATGTTGATAAAAGCTTTTGATTCGGAATTTAATCCCATTACAGTTCCATTGAGCGTTAATGAATCGGCGCATAAAATAGATGGTGAATTCTTCCAATCGCTTGATGATTTGAACCTACACGTCATTGGATTTCAACAAGTATGCAGGCTAAATTTTTTATGATGGACATTTGTATTGATGATAAAGTTTCAATGCTAATGAATTTTTTTTTATTTTTAAAAAGATGAATTGGATGTTTATAAATAGGCATATTAGAAGAAAACAAATTTCTAATTTTTGGACTATATTAGGAATTCCGCCTAGCAATTTTGAAGAGAAATATATTACCACTAAATATGGTTAGGTCTTTTAAAATATTATCATTTGAAATTATGTATATATATATATATATACATCTTAATGAATATTTTTAATAATCTGGCATAATTAATTAGAATCCGTAACAAATCCTGGAACTGCAGCTTTAGCTTCTACTAATCAGACTATTACCGGTCAACAATTTTATGCTAATTTATTTGTTGGAACAATGAATTGGTTTCAAAATGTAGAAACGGAAGGAAAGTTAGTATCTTTTTACTATATGATGCTTATCATAACTCATCCAAAGATTCCAAGTCGTAATCTTGGTCGGCCGGACTGATGTCAATAAATTTATCAAGATCATTTAAAAAAATTGATTGCATAACAATTTTACTATAGAAATGATTAATTGGTAAATACAAGTCCGAGCTGACCAAGGTGTCGACCCGAAAGTTGTAAAAATACTTACGTTTACCTTTTATTTGTCAATATTGTCAACCTCACGTGAAATAGAACGCACCGAGTAAGTTTTACGTGTTATGTTACTGTATATTATTATTTTGCACTTTTCTGTAATCATTGGTAATTAATTATATGATCTGAAAACGTTAGATTATGGATTCCCTTAGTTTACTCGCTGGATTCTATGGCCTTCTTATTGGAATATATATATTGTGTTTCGGTGAGTTATAATTCACAAAGTTCACTAATTACAGTAATTATGATAGCAATCTTTTAAATAAAATTTTTTATAATAGGATTTGCACCGGTCCATCCGTGGGGTCTATGTCAAAGCTTCTTTATGCGTCGTCGTATAAAGCAAGAACTTCACAAAAAACAATATCCAAAAGCAATTCCATTGCTCGAACAACCACGTACAGATGAAACTTTAACAGAGCGTATAAATTATTTAGAACAATTTTTAAAACAATTTTTCTGCGATGTTAGTTTTATGGAAGAAATAAAGGAAGAAAATGGATTAGAAGATGCGGTCGAAACAGTTGGAAAATATGTGAAGAGAGCTGATGACGAATAATTTAATTTAAATTAGCACATTAAACGTTAATCATATTTTAAGTTCAACAATTTAATAATTGCATTTAAGTTCAACAATTTAATTAATCTAGTACTATTTCTCAAACCTCTTACATTCATTATCATTGTGTTCATTACCATTGTGAATAAAATTAAGACAGAGAGTGGGCCTCGCATTGTACATTATATGTTATTAAAAAAAAAAAGATACAGATTTCATTGCCAATATCGGTATTAAATTCTTTCCATATTCGATTTTAAAAATTTTACGTAGATGGGCTAGACCAGAGTTTGCAATTTGGGAATTTCTATGTAGAGATGCAAATTAGCACATCGATCCTATCGCTATTTGATTAATCAATTTTTATTATAATTAAATACAACCCATTCTAGAGTACTATCAGACCCTGCACCATGTGTTATACCCTAACACTTAATACTGACCATTTTGTTTCGATAAAATCAATGCTGGTCACACCCGTGTCAATCGATTAGTTGCCAACTATATTTGCGACTAGACGATTCGAATCACTGTGTCGATTATGCTGTGTCAATAAATATAGGTTAACAATATATTTGGTAGGTTGCTATATATGTAGCAGGTTAATTTTAAAAAATAAAATTAGAATTATTAATTAAAAAATTAGAGTTAGAGTTAGGATTAGTATTAAATTTAAAGTTAGAAAGTATATGTATATGTTGTAAGTGGAAGTGGAATTAAGTGGAAACGGAATTTTTATATAAACCCAGCATTTTGGTATTGATTTTATCATATGGGTGCCGTCAAGGGAAAACCTACAATCTGGCTTTCAATTATATTTTGTGTACAGTTGGCCATCTATCGACAATCTATCATCTGACTTTCAATCATATTTTGTGTGATAGATTGTCGATAGATGACCAACTGTACACAAAATATAATTGAAAGCCAGATTGTAGGTTTTCCCTTGACGGCACCCATATGTATACCCTTACCCTAACCCTAATTTAACTTGGAAATTCTGAATCCATTCCCATCCACTTACAACAAATATATCGATATATGCAAAATTACATGCTAAAAACTTTTAATTAACACAGACATAGCTCGTTATTGTTACACAAAATCCTGTAATCTAATTGGTTAACTATATTAATCTGCGATATACAGTACACCTTGTATAAAAAATAGTGGCCAAATTTTATGGTTAACGTTAGGTCATGCAAATTAAATTAGTTGTTTCCCGTTTCATAAGACAAGCTAATAGGACACGGCCGGCCTGCAAAAAATGGTATATTTAAAAAATTTTTTTCATATAAAAAAATTATATAGAAGAAAATTTAACTTTTTCTAAAAAAGCTACCCAGCCGGGGTAACGAGAAACAATTTTATTTGTTTGCGCGACCTTATGTTGTGTAACTTTATACAAAAATCAAGCTATATGATTGGTTAATACAGTATAAATTCATTAAAAAAAGTTTTTTATAATCCTGGTCAGAATTATGATAAGCTTGGCCAGAATTAAAATAATTTTACTAGAATTATAGTGGCCAAATTTTTAGTTTTAATAGTAAAAATAGGCATTTTATTAAGTGATAATCTTATTAAAAAAATTTCTTTAATTCTTATAACTTTATTCTGTTTTTTTTTTTATATTTTTGCAAAAAAAAATTGTTCTAGCTATTCTAGTTATTTTTGTTTAAGGTATCCCGTACTGTAGCAACCTGCTATATTTAACAAATCCTTTAAAAGTTTACAAATTTACCTTTTTAACAATACTTACAATACTTCCAACTTGGACTAGCAGCTTTATAAATCTCATAAGAAAATACTAGCCTGATGCATAATGATGTATTAATATCTTTTAAACAAATATGTTTAGAGATTTCTAACTATCCATAAATTTTCTTTACTATTTAAATTAGCCTGTTTATTTTAAACTCAGATCAAAACCCTCATCGTTAAATATTTGATCTTTTAAACATAAACAATTTCAAACAAATTTTTATTTGACTTTTTTAAAAATTAAAATATATGTTTAAATAAAATTTTATTTAATAATACATATGTCGTAGGTGGAAATAGAATTTAAGTTGATTCGGAATTTTTAAGGTTAGGGTTGGGATTATACATGCCACCGAAATAGGTTTTAAAAAAACCCTATTTCGTATCCATTAGAGCAAATTAGAATTTTTTATATACAAGAGCAAATCTAATTTAAGTAGTTATGTTCCTTATAATTTCGTCTCTTCAAAAAAAGTGTTAAAAATTTTCGTCTTTTAAGTAAAAATAGGTCAAAACATTTTCGTTTTCAAATTTAATTTCGGGTTTTAGATCCCAAAATAATTTCGTCGGCATGTATAGTTGGGATTTTTAGTATAATTATTCCATTCTAATCTAAGTGGATTCCGAACCCTATTATGGTTCCATTCCCACTTACAACATATACACAAAATGAATTTATATCTGCTATTTTCGTTATCGTTACACAATTGAAATTTATCATGTGGAAAGTAACATTTTTTTGTGATCTGAATTTACCTACGTACTATTGGTCGATGAGATTTATAAGCATTTAAAACCATGCTCGTGTATTTTTGTATCTTTATTTTTTTTCTAAACAATGAAGGAGTATTTTCAAGCTCTTGGATGCTTTGACTATAATGCAGCAAATAAGATTGCCGGTAAAATTACCAAAGTAAACTCTCTAACTGTCCATTTACGAAATTTTGATTTAGAATACGATATCGGTCGAAAGTATTGCATCGCACATCAATTTTTTATAAAAATATTTGAAAGTTTGCATTCTTATTAAAAATATGAAATCAATTGTTTAAATTTTATATGCTCTATTTAATTCATTATGTGAAAATCCCTTTTTATTAAGAATATTAAGAATGTAAATTTTCATATACGAATATCCCCAAGGAAAAAAATCCGGAAATCTTATTAGTTAAAATTTCCAGAAATTTCGTTTATTATAAAACTTGATATGATACTTTCGAGCTATTATACCCTCATATGCACGCGCTCACAAATATGTATTTATTTATTATTTCTTTAATTTCTAAACATTAGACAAATTCCACGATCGGTCCAATCCTTTTAGCCATTGCCAGATGTGAGCAATCTTATACCTCATTAGAATATCTGAAAACAAAATTTTTCCGTAGAGAAGACGTAAGTTTGATCCGTATTCGTATTGCATATCGTTACTTTAGATCTCGTGAAATAAAATTCCGAATTAAACAACATTTTTCAATCATTTGAATACTAAAAAGTATTCAAATACTGAAGTAGCAAATTCAATAACGAATCTGATTAGGTCCCCACTATTGGCCAATTCTAGTAGCAACGGAGATCAAATCGATTTAGAGTATCTCAATAAATTATTTCAGAGCTTAATAAATTTTATAATGATTAGAAAGGCTCAGATAGCGATGTAGGCTTTATATATTAAATTTTGATTATAATATCCAGTATTAATTATTATTTTATGTGTTAATTGCCGCTTCCCTTTAGATATCGTGCTGTGCCAAATTACTTTTCGGATATTAACTCTGAATATATTATTTGTGAAATTGAATCTGTCATAACAAAAGCTTCTGAAAAAAAATCATGTGAGGATTTAGATTCTTTGGGTATTGGTGCAGAGTAAGTCTCATTTCTTAATAATTAATTTCCTCCTTCTTTTGAATATAATTACATCTTTATGTAAAAACTCAAAAAAAAAAAAAAAAAATAGAAAAGAATTGATGATTTTAAAATACCTTTTTATGGCGCGTAAGGCTATCATCTCATATAATTTTAAAGATTCGTCAATTTTTCTTTATACCGCAAAAACTCTACTTTCTTCTTGGAGAGGGATTTGCTCAAATCAAACTTACCCTGAGGTAATCCCCCTTACATTTGAAATTTTCAATCCTGATATGATTATATCTTACTAATTATAATTACCTATAAACTTACAAACTAGAAATCTAATAAAAATGAAGAACCCGTTGGTCCATTCGTTGCTATCCAAAATTTCTTCACCGGTCAAGAAGTGAGTTATTGGACATACTATTATCTATAAGAAGTTCGTTTAATTCTACACATACATTAATCAATCATCATAGAGACAAGCAAAGAATGTCAAACGTGGCAACGTGTCACCTAACAATATGCGATGGCTTGATAAATTTCTATCTAATCTCACCGCCAAAATGACATTATATTTCATGAATATTCTTTTAGAAAAAGAGAAAAAGACTGGGGGTGATTCTAAGACATTATGGAGAAAATTTTCAGATGATTATAATTACCAGGGATTGTAAATATAGTTATTCATATTTACCGAGTATTTTATTTACTTATGTTCTGATTTATGTATTTAATTTGTTCGTTTAAATCTAGAATACGAAATTTTCGAGGTCGATCAGGAGCACACAGTATAGCTTTGTTATATGAAATTACTGATGATGCACCATTCTGTCGAGATGGGTATTCTTGTGTTACTACTCCATGTGAAAAACCAACTGGAATAGATTCTTTTCCTTGCATATACTCCTTCCCAGAGGTAACTTATTTTTTTCATTTTATAATATTGACAAGATAATTGATTAATATGTCAATCATACTTTATATTAGGAACAGCCAAAAGAACATTGGCAAAATATAATACCATTAATTCAAGAAAAAGATGAAAAGAAACAGACACCTTTCACAAGGAGTTTTCCAATACATTATTTTGATAAGAATACAGGTTGTGCTTATTATTTTATTCGAATTGATGATCATGCATTGTTAGTTGTTTTATTTACAGAAAAGCATTCATCACCTGATAATAGTACATCTGAATTTATCATGTTATTGGCTAACAGATTAAGTGGGATAGATGTTCTGGTTAATTTACAGAAATTTGGAGAATAATGTATAAATTTTGTTTTTTTTAATTTTTTTTTGTATTAAAATAACATATGTAATATATACGTGTACAATATCTTATATGAGTTTTGTTCTTTGCCAATTACATTGCCTAAGGCATGCAATCCAGAATTGACATATGGGAGTGAGTCAATAGAAACGCACTAAATCTTTTTTAATGAAATTTTTTTGAATCTTTGAACAAAAATAACTCAACAAAAGCTTAATTAAATTTAATACAAT